AACTGGGCTGAGATGTGCCTTTTGTCAGCTTCTTTCCCCTCCCTGATTTACTCTCCACTCTCCTGCATGTGTTTCCTGGGATCACCTTCCAAATAAGCTAGTGACACCTGAATTCTTTCAGAATCAGCCTCAGGAGGAATCTAAAACCAGGATCACTCTTCTCCTTAGAGATGACTTCTGAAACCACCCATATGCTTTGTTTGCATTAGTCTTTTGGGTAGAGTCTACCCTCATTAGACTTAAAATCCAGTAGACAAGGACTAGGATACAAATAACTCTAAAACACTGTGTGCTCCTCACACAGAAGTTATTCAGTCTGCATTTGGAGAACAAAGAATAAAGGGTGATAAAAAGTGACTTAGTGAATATAAAAACAGAGCAAGAACTATTGGTTGATCATTAGGAGTATCTGACAAACTTTCATAGTCTGACACCCCTTCCTGTAAGAATGTATCTACCCAAGTACACCTGCAGCCTCTCAAGTTCTCTCCCCATGACATCTGGACTCCCCACCTCCTTCAGGAACACATCCTGTAAGGCATTCCATATTATCTCAGCGCATTTTCTCTAGTCAATGTATTGTGTGACATTTTATATTTTCCAAAATGGAAAACATTTTTAAAGGGATTATGTTTGAGGCAGGCTGCTTCCTGATGACCTATATGTTCTCACTTTAATCTTATTAGCACATTCCTCATTCCTCAGATCACACTACAGGGTGGATGACTTTCAAGAAACTAATCCAGCTATGGGGTATTGTTATTTGTAACAGCCAATCAGGAAAACCTTCCTCCCCAGTTGCTCTCCTGACCCCTTCCTGAATTTTGCCTCTAGATCTTGGGGTGTGTCTTACAAAGACAAGTTCTAGAATCACTGAACTGTGCACTAGAGTCCTAGGATTATCAACAGGTAATGAATTGCCCTCAAGGGGCTGCATAAGACTTGTGATCATGAACTTCAGAATGGCTGCAACCTTGGTGCCATCAGCAATGCCTTTCAAAACTATTCTTCTGCAGAAGTATTTCTTAAATGGCGATCCATGGACTAACAAGGGCTTCTGGTGCTGCTTAAAATGCAGATCCTTGGTTTTTCTCAAGTACCCTGAAGTACTCCCATGAAGGTGCTGCAATTTGTAGAGCATGAAGGAACTGCTCTAATGAATGGAATGCATCAAAAGTGATGGATGCTACTTTTGAAATTTGATTATGAAAACCTCCTGTCTCTCTTGCTTTTTTTATACTCACTCTTTTTTTAACAGGCATTGTGGGTCATAAGGTGACCAATTCATCCCAGTCCCAGCTTACCTGAACCTGTCCTAATTTTAGTATGAGAAGTCCCACATTCAGGAATTCCTTCAGCCCCAGAACATTTGGTTACCCTGTGAGTGCATCTTATGCAAAGTGAATTTTTACAGCTTGTTACGGACTCCAAGATATGCCACATTAACGCAGATGCCACCTACACTTGGTAGAAGTGGCTGAGCCCTTGAGATGACTTTAATTCAGTATGACCCTGGGGTGTGGGAGCTCTTAGTGAGATCCTCCTGTGAGGGCTTGAATATTGGGAGACCCAGAGCATTTGTTTGTTACTTTGCTTTTCCTTTCTTTGAACCTCAGGTGCAGAGAGTTGAACTTGGTCCTGAGTGCCAAGTCCACCATCTTCTCCTGTGTCTGCAAGGCCCCACTCTGGATTTATGCAGTCATTTATTCTCATTTTGTCTCCAAATTCCATGCCCAGCAAGCAAACATTACCATGTGACTGTTATATACCCATAAGTTTGTATGCTTATAAAACATGGAGCATTGTTTCCTCTTAAATTTATACAAATTGTATACAAATTTATACAATTTGAAATGCAGGCTTCATCCTAACTCTTAACCTTTTTCTGTTAAGACTGCATTTAATGCTGTATGGTCCTTTAATCTGTTGCTTCCTGTGATAGGCAGTTCCTGAAGGGGTTCCATCCTCCTGGTCTTCACGCCCTTGTGCAATCATTTCACCTCATATGTGGGCCGCACTTAGTGACCTGCTCTAATGAATGGAATGCATCAAAAGTGATGGATGCTACTTTTGAAATTTGATTATGAAAACCTCCTGTCTCTCTTGCTTTTTTTACTCTGATGGAAGCCAGCAGAAATGTTGGGAGCTGCCTTATACAGAGGACTGGTGACAAGGTCTGGAGAAAGGCCTCCAGCCAACAGCCAACCAAGAAATTGGGATGCTCAGCCCAATAGCACAAGAAACTGAATCCTGCCCACAGCCTTGTGAGTGACTTTGGAAGCAAATCTTCCCCCAGTCTGGCTGAGCCTTGAGACAACTGACTATAGCTTAGACAGTACTTGATTTACCCCTTGTGAGAGATTCTGAGCCAAAAGCCCCAGTTCAGCCATGCTGGCTCTGGACCCACAAAGACTGTGAGATAATAAATCCCTGTGGTTCTTGGATAAGATTTTAAATTGGGAGTATTTGTTATGCAGTAATAGATGACTGATGTACTTCTAATAATTACAACTAACCACAGCATGCTTCTACCACATGTATTTGTCCATTCCCTGCAAACGGGCACCTGATTGAATCTAATTCCCCCTGGTACAAACACTACTGCGGTATCTGGAGCAAGAACCCGTGCTGGACCTGTATGAATAGTTCCCCGGCATGTCTATCCACAATGGGACTTTGTATATGCAAATGTAAGACCCAGAGACTAGAGAAGCAATTCCTAAATTGTTCTTAATTCTTTTAAGCATTTTTGTCCTAAAGGTGGGTAATCCTTGGGGGAAGTAAACAAATCCCCTGATTAATGGTTTTTAGATGTGGATAGCAGATCAAGGAATAGCCAGAGGTGGTCTATGAAGGGTTGGTGTTTTGTCTTGAGAAGACACTCAGGTATGTCCCTTCTTTTGTGACCCAGGCTGACTGATTCATGCTGGGCTTCAGACATAAGGATCTATGAGTAACAGGAGAGAGGGCTTGTTCAAAGCTGAGTAGACACATTTATAACCATTAAAACAATGTTTCTCTGTTTGGATTTAGTAAATGCCCTCAGGTTCCTGGAAATGTGTGCAGAGACCCCATGGCCATGAGATATCTATCATTTTATTCTTTACAGTAGGTGGAAATATATTTGGAAGTCATTGGGCTGTGGCTGCCCTACATCAAAAGGCATTTCATAACAAAACACCATCATGCCCCATTTATAGAAATAGCATGCTGTGCTTTGGCTGCTGTGGGCAAATAAAATATGTTCTTGTAACATAAACAGCCTCACCTTCCCTCTAAAACTAAAGGGTCATAAAAGATTTTTTTAAATACGGTTTTGAAATATAGACACACATATAAAAACATGTTAAATGTAGACTATGTATACGTACATACAGATATGCCTGATAGATAAATGATAGCATAGACAAGAGATAATGTCATAAGTGGGCCTTAAAATCTAATAAATGATATTGAAGGAGAGAATATCAGAGTCAAAAGGAACAGCAAAAATATTTCAGTCCACGTGCCTCATTTTACAAAGAAAGAAACTGAGGTCCAGAAGAGGAAGTGATATGTCCAAGGCTTCTGGCATATGTAGATGGCCCAGCAACTCCTTGTTCAGTGCCATCCCATACACTCACAATTAACATAAATTTAAATTGTTTGCAAAATGAAAATGAGTTATTGTCTTATCTCTCTTGGATTCACTAATGGTGGAATTTCAAACAAATGGATAATGCTCAGGCTGAGAGAGTATATGATGATTTGAACATATGTCCACAAAATCTTGATATTTCTTCCTTCAAGAGTTGGAACTTAGTCCCTCTTCCTTTAAGTGTGAACTAGACTTAGTCCCTCACTCCTAAAGATTAAAATATGGCAGAAATGACAGTGTGTGGCTTCTGAGACTGGGTCATAAAAGGGACCACACAATCCTCTTTGATCTCTCTCTTGACCACTCCCTCTGGGGGAACATCCATCGTTATGTCTGAGGCCTCCAACCTGCAGCCATGTGAGTGTGCCATCTTGGAAGCGGATCAGCATTCCCAGTCAGACCTTCAGGTGACTGCAGCTGCAGCTGACATCCTGGCTGCACCTTCCTAGAGGATCCCAGGCCAGAACCACCCAGCTAAGCCCCTCTCAACTTTCTGACACAGAAATTCCAATAAAATTGTATTGTTTTAAACTAAGTTTGGAGTAATCTGTTATACAACGATAGTTAGGTAACACAGAGCATTAACCTACCTCCCTTCAATTACCATCATGAAAGCAATTACTATTTTATTAAAGGGTTAAAGTAGCCTGTTGGAGAACATTCTTTCCACCAAGACCTTGGCACTTGAGATTCAACAGTAAGAAGAGTGAGGCCTTCCTGGCTTCCCACCTGATGCCTCAGTAGGGTCTATAACCTAAGAAGCCTTGGTTGCTGCACATAGAACAGCATGAGACTGACATGTGGGGAAATGGTCTCTTCTTCTCTAGGCCCGACTCTGGAAACTTTGGAGAAACACTGTACATTCAGACCACATTAAAACAGGGGTGAGACATGGGTTCTCATTCCACCTCTGCCCAAATCTAGGATGTTACCTTGGCAAAGTCCCTTTCCATTTGTAATTCTCAAGTTTGGCCTCTTCAAATAAGGAAACAATTATCAAGTTCCCTTCATTATCTCCCATACGCAAGTCGGTGCATTATCAAAAGGCCCCCCACTAATAGTTGGCCAACATGCCAGGATTTGAACACAGCTCAACTAGTCTGAAAGCCTCATGTTTTTCCTTTGAGGTTTCTTTGTCCTCTTAATTCCTCCATAAAACAGGGACCTGAAGACACTGGCCACCATCAAATGACTAATGGACTCTTCCCTCTGCTTCACCAGAATATGCAGTCTGGTCTCATTTCATCTCCTTTCCTGCCTTTTCTTGGCTCTGTTTGTTTACTGAGTCTTTCCAGCATGGGCTCATCAGTGACATTAAATAGGAAAAAACTACCAAGCAAATACAGTTCTAGTAGAAACTCACCTGTGGAGCCGTGGAAAGATGATGTTATTCAAGTAGACTGGACTCTGAGTCAGATGCCTGGGGATCTGTTGATTTGTCTTTGCCACTCACTGGCTGTATAATCTTGGACAAGTCACCTAACCCATCTTGTCCTCAGCTCCTTCTTCTTTAAGAAAAAAAATTAAGTAATAATAATAATAGTCAATGTTGATTGATCACATTCTAAGCACTAGGTTAAATAACTTGCATGCATTGCCTATAATGCAACCTTTGTGACATAGGAATTATTATCATCCATATTTTACACATTAAACTAAAGCTCAGAACTAGTAGGTGGTGGAGCCAGGACTCAAACCCAAGCTTTTCACTACTGCTGTGATTGTAATTCTGAATCTGTCTCAGCTTGAATTGGGAATGCGTGCTGGAATTCAGAAGCAGCAGCATATGTGGAGAACCGATGGGGTGAGTCTGCCAGGTGTTTATTTGTACAGGGGGCTGCGGAGTGAAGTTAGTGTCAGGCACATGCGTTTGCTTTCAGGACAGATGCCCACCAGTTCTAGAGGAATGAGAAGATTCCTTTTCCTTGATGATAGTCACTGTGGTTTTGTGAGACCAGTAAAAGAGCAAAATAAAAATGAAAGGTTTGGGATAGTAACAGTCAGAGAATCTGCAGAATTGATGCCAGCACCCTCAGTTATAAGTGGGGAGGACCCCAGTGACCTTGACTTTGGACACTGTCAGGAATTGAATGCCTTTAGCAGACATCAAGAGTTTCAGCAGCAATGAGAGCCATGACCCCAAATAAGCCAGGGTGGGAGAAGATAAAACCACCAGATGTCACACGGTCGCCCAGAGGACCAGCTTGCAGAGCACATAATGGGCACTCTCTGCTCTGAGGTTACTGATGAGACATGAAGGGAGACAGGAACCCCAGACTACATGAAAGAAATTTGAGGGGGAGCCTATACTTCTACAGAATCCAAATGTAGTTTGGAGAAGTTCTATGTTAGCTCTTAGGATATTTTTATCCTCAGGCTTGGGTGGTCTGAAAAATGATGGTTACTGATAAAAATGAAAGGGTGCTCCTCCATGAAGCTCTGTCTTTGGATCCTTTCATTTTGCCTTATGATCCTCAGAACCACAGGATATCAAACCTGATTAACAGAAGCACCCAAGCTGCAGAAGACTGTTTAGGCCCACGGGTGAGCCTTGAGAGGATTTCTAATGCCAGTGTTGCCCTCAGGAATTAATGATGTTGCACTATGGTGATCCCTAATTTAGTGATCCCAGAGCTTCTTGGTGAGAAAAGTGCACTATTTCTCTAGCTGGCCACAGTTTTCTTCAGGGAAAGACATCTGATCTGGAGAAAAGAGGCATTGTTCTCCCCCACTGACAGCTGGAAATCACAGCTTCTCTGGGGGTCTGAAGTTTGCAGCTCTCTAACTGAGGTGAGTGCCTGTAGGGGAAAGGGGGCAGACATACAGTGAAGCCCACATTCCTCCTACCTGGAAAAACGTCTTCCTTCTGTGACCTTCCTGCTTGGAAGGGACTGGGTGAGCCATCTAACTCCACCTTTCCCTTGGAAATGGAGAGCATCCCCACCCCAGAGGGAGGAGAGGAGGGAAGGAAGGGGCTACAGGGGATATTCCTCCCCTTCCCTCTCTAGCAGGAAGAAAAGCTGTCTTTAATTAGGATGGGAAAGGAGATTCAAAACATCTGGCGGGAAAAGCGCCTGTTCTGGAGGGCCTTGTGAGGATGGAGTGAGAACAGGACCGATGGGTGGCCACTGAAGGCTTCTGGGCAACCTTCCTGCCTGGCCAACCTGCCACTGTCCTCCATGTCCATCACCCATTTTCCTCTTCACCTCTGCTTTGTGTCTTTGTCAAGCTGAGTCCTTTATGTGCCTCCTGCCCCAGGCTAAGGGGAGCAGCACAGCCCACAACTTTTGGGGGGTCTAAAACAGCCCACAACAGTAGACCACCCACTGAGTACATACAGAGAGTTCACAACCTCTAGCATTCAGGCAGCTAATCAGCTTGGTTGTGGAAAGCCTCCTTTTTAATCACAAGTCTACTGAGCTACTTTCCTCCCCTCTTTAAAACACTCCCAGGCCCCCACCACCTCTAAGAAGTCTTCTCAGATTAACTCTGCAGAGATTGCATATTCCTCCCCCACTACCCAAACCACCCACTAAATGTCAGTGCTGCGAATTGCTCTCCTTTCACTGTTCTTGCACGGACTTTGGAAGGCCTGCCTTCCCCACCCCAGCTGGAGCTGATGACTGAGAGACACTGGGGTTGCAGAATTAGCTGTGGCTAATTCCCTGGAAATCAACCACCTACCCATAAGACCCCAGGTTTTGAGTCACAAGGCACCAAAGCCTGAAGGCTCCTTAAAGATTACCTACTGGGTAAGATTTACTACATTCCCCAAGAGGTCACTGCCCAGGCAAGCTCTGATCAGGATTCCCCTGGGGCAGGTAGATTGGGTCTGGAAACAAGGTCAAGAAACGTCCTTTCCAATTTCTCAATTACTGACGGAGCCAAACGGTGAGCTGAGCAGGAGCTGGGCAATCCTCAGGAACTGTGCAACTGTGGGCCTAGCATCTGGTTTTCATCAGCCTCTTTCATGGGAACACAGTGGTCTCTCCTGGGTTTACAATTTGCATTGAGCATCCAGACCCTCAAGATTCCTTTGTTCCTTGGAGGGTGCACTCTTCATCCCACTGCAAGCCACAAAGTCATGCGCCATGTCCCAAAGGAGCAACCATTCAAAGGCATATGCCAAAGCTTCATCTCTGCCCTACGGGCAACTCTGGCTGCCAAGGCGTCCAGCCATGATGGCACTCATCAGTTGATCATAGCTTTTAAACCTCAGCTGGTTCCTATATATGCATACAGGTTATTATAAAGTTATAGCATCATGGACTTTGAGAGATGAAAGTGATTTTAAACTCTGAGACAAATTTTTGCTTGACACATAAAGGAACCAAAGTCCAGAGAACTTACACAGTTTAAACAGTCAAACAACCAGCCAGGACACATAGTGATGGTCCCTCCTCTGCCCTGACTCCTGACCTCGTGTGTTTCCATGACATGTGGGGTCAGAGAAGATAATAAAAGATTCCTAGGTATGGGAAAAAAACTGATGTGACATTCCAAATAAACACCAAACTTAAAAAGACACAACTTACAGTTTTACTGTGGTGGAAATAGTTTTTTTCCCCTTACTTTGATTGCAAAATTCTGCAAAATGTCCTTAGAGATAAGCTTTTTTATTTTCTATTTCCTGCTTAGCTGGTGCCTGCAGCACATGTTCAGTCTTGCCAGTGGGAGCAGGTAACCCATAATGATATATGCCATGCATCTTGAGAATGAGCGCTTTAAATAACAAGTCCAATATTCTCATTTTCCCTTTGGTTCTTCTGGGAGGGCTCTGTGGAGGAGGAGAAATCTCAGGCGTTGTTGAAGTGCTGGAGAGAAAGCATAGGCCAGGATTCCTCAGCTGTCAGGATATGGTGAGACCTTGGTAACAGCTCCCCGTCCCCGGACACCTGTGGTCTGCCCTGGTCTCCTTGGGGAACTGGAGAAGCACAGAAGCCTGCTGGTGTGATTGCTTCTTCTGCTCCATTCTTGCATCACGAGCCAGGAACCCACCTAATGAATGAGCAAAAAGTCAGGGAGACCAGGCTGCGCACTCTGGGAAATGGACTAATTTTAGATTCAGAGACTAGGTGGGGATGAGATTTGAGGGTGGTGATCTTGGACAGAGGCCACCAAAGATTCGAGGCTGAATGCTGGGGCTTTCCAAGAACATGCCACAGGCAGACTGTGTAGGCCCCGTGGAGCAAGCATAAACAGGGGCAGTGGTGACAGGCCCAGGAGTATGAAAGTCTCCTGGGAAGAGCAGAAGAGGCCTTTCTAGTCTAGGAAATTGATTTATTAACTTCTTCCCATCTTTTCCTCCATTTCAGAAGCAGAATTTGTGCTGTTTGCATAGTCCTTTTCTGTGGGTCCTTTCAGTACTGAAAGGTGAGTAACTGGATAGATCCCAAGAGATGAGGGAGACCAACAGTGACTAGAGTCACTAACAGTGGGTATAGTACAAGTGCCCGACAACGCCAGTCAGAACCGTAGGTTACTGCTCACCCCTCCAGTTAAAGCTGGCTATAAAAATGTGAGATTTGACCCTTCTTGTATTATTTAATTCTATTTGTTGTTCAAATCATTTAAATCTAGAAGTCTACTTGCTTAAGATTTCCAGAGATGACTAGAGAAGTTCAAAGCTATACCCAGACCTTCTGAAAGCCAGCCTCATGGTCAAGGTATGAGTCGAACATTGTATTCTTTCATTCCCTTCCTGGGAAGATGCAGTTCAGAGTTTTTCGGTTTCTTTCCCCTCCTCATTTGTACAACTGTGAAAACCCACACATGTTCTGGTGTGGGGCCAACTGGTGCTTTTAGAACTTTGAAAAGAGCTGACATAAAGAGATGAGATAGGGAAAACAAAGAGAATCCCTCTCTGAGAAATAAACAAGGTTCTTTTTAAAAAGTTACTTAGGTGATCAATGCTAATCACACAAACTTTATTTCAAGGCCTGAAGAATCACATGTTACCTGAAACCTCACCTCAGAGTGATGATACCATTTGGGTAACACTGAATTGAGCCTGAGCAGTTA